GAAGGTGTGAAACCCCAGCAAGCAGCCCTGGGGTTTCAGCTTCCTGAAAGTACCTCTGGACCACCTGTCTGTGCTCGGGGAGACAGCAGCCTGTGCTGGGATGCTTAGAGAAAAGATCTCTTGGCTCCCAACACACTTCCTCGTTGGCTCGTTCCAACCTCGTTGTCTGTTTTATCTTTTTCATTCTACTTGTTCATGTCGTTGGCTTTATTTGGGGGCAGGTCTCGCTGCATGACAGAGGCTGATCTTCAGCTCCGGCTAGTCCTGCTTCTGCCTCCCAAGTGGCAATACTGTTAGGAAAACACCACTGCAGACCCAGCCTTCCATCTCTTTTGATTATCTTTCTGCAGCTGGGTGTCTGATGGTAGACATCAGGAGAAAGCAGAGGTCTGCCTCTTCGGTCTCGGCCCTATCCTTTGCATATGTCACCCTGTGCCATAGCTTTAAAGGCCTTTTTTAATTTGCGGGGCTAGTGATGCAAGCCAGTTGGGGGAGGGCTTGCCTCGAATGTGGGGAAACCCCGGATTTGGCCTTCAGCAACTCGTAGATTGGGTATAGTAGTCTGTAACCTCAGCACTTGGGAGGGATAAGCAAGACGATCATGAGTTCAAGGATACCCTCAGCTACATAGCAAGTTCAGTGCCAGCCTGGAATGCATGAAATCCTGTCTCAAAATAAAAAAAAAATTGTATTCTGCTTCATGTACCCACACAGATGATCTCCTTACCGATTTCCCAGCTTGTCGATTGTCTACCTGACGTTTCAGTCTGAAGGTATCTCAGATTGTACCAGAGTACATGTAGGCCGCATGAGGGCGGGAGCTTGCGTGACCTGCTCAGTGCAGTCTCCCTCTCCTAAAACAATCGAGGCAAATGGTAGAAGCTCAATAAATATTTGTTCAATGAGTGACGTGCTTCTTGGCTTTCTCAGGAGACTGTGGCAAAGCCTAGGAAGAGTTACCCAAGAACACAGGGCAGGGAATGTAACCCCAAGGAGCAAGGCCCAGTCAGCCTGACGAGCTGGTATTTCCTGGAGGCAATATGCTGTCCAGAAAGAAGAACTCACGTGGGCGGTTCTAGACAGAACCCTCTGAAAGCCAAAACAGAGTACTGACAAGAACCATTTGAGTCTACCACTTGAGAATTAGTAAGCTGTTCCTTCAAAGGCTGCCATGTGACTGTAACCAAGGACTCTCCTCACAGCACAGGCGCTCACATCTCCCCAGTCACGCAGAGCCAGCTGAAGCTTCGGCCATCTGACCTCTAGACATTTCACAAAGGCCTCAGTGGATGGCCACCTAACCAGTCTCTGAGAAATATCATGGAAGCTGACAATTCACTATAGTCAAATACTGGTAATACCTACGTGCACCCTGTGAATATTAAACAGCTGGCAGGATTCTAATTATGAAGCTCCAGGGATATAGCTCAGTGGTAGAGCACTTCTCTGCCATTTCTGATGCCATGGGTTTGATTTCTACCACCACGCCCAGAAACACAAAAATGTGGTCATGACCTTTAGCCTTTAATCTAGAAAATATACCTTCATCTTAGTGGAAAAAAATACCCTGGGACAGATATGCCTAAATATTATAAGAATAACTATATTAACATTGTCTAAGAAAAAACTGATGGGGTGTTATTGTATTAGGTTGGATGGCTTGCGGTGGATCTGCCTCTTAGCATTTTCCAAACATTTTAAGATAACTATGAGTGATGACAACGAAGGAAATATTTGCAAATAACTAATACAGGAGTTTGAACCTTCCTAACATGAAGAAATGATAGATATCCGAGATGATAGGTACATCTACTTAAATGTTACACTCTAGCCCATAAATATATGAAGTTGCTGTGTGATAAATAATTTTGGGGTGGTTTATTTAGACTTATTTGTGTGTGTGTGTGTGTGTGTGTGTGTGTGTGTGTGTGTGTGTGTGAGTGTTTGTGTGTATAAAATGCTGGGGATTGAACCCAGGGCCCTGTGCATGCTGAATAAGTTCTCTTTTACTGAGCTATCACCCTAAACTCCAGATATATTTAAATAGTTAATTACTTTTAAAAGATTCATTTTAATTATGTGCCTGTGTGTGGGTATGTTCATACGAGTATAGAAGCCCAAAGCATCCAGAAGGGGATGTCTGTCCTTTGGAGCATTATATCCTCCTGTTCTGCATGACAGCAGGGGTTATTTTATCCGATTACTCTCCTTTGCCTGTTAGCCACCCTCCCTCCATCTTTCCTCCTTACACCCTCCTTGGGCTCTAGTACCTATTATTCTATTCTGTGGTAGTTTAATTTTCTGCGTATACAAGGTGGTTGTGACTTAAACTGGGGCCTTCCAGAGGAGCACATGTGCTATTAGCTGCTGAGCCATTTCTCCAGTCCCCCCCACACACTATATTTTTGAAAGAGATTTTAAGCCAGATGCGGTGAGGTAAAGACAGACAGATCTCTGTGGGTTTGAGAGGCCTGGTCTACACAGTGAGTTCCAGGCCAGCCAGGGTTATGTAGAGAGACCTTGAGTTTAAAAAAGTAAGAGAGAGAGAGAAAGAAACTTTAAAAGTAAATCTTAATTAAAAAATTAAACAATATTGATATAATGTATTTTGCTGTATTAATTATATATACGTGAAATGATATGATATCGTATTAATATTATGCATGAAATGATACCTATGTCCCAGATAGGTGGCCTCTCTACTATGTAGCAGACAGACAAAAAGGTAAGGGCATTGCGGGTACGTGTGGAAATGGCAAAGGTAGAAGAGAAGAAACGTAACAGTGGCCTTCCGTTGCTCCACCTCAGGTGCTGGGCACCCTCTAAGTAGCCAATCGGCTTCTTTGATCTGCTGCTCCTCCAGAGATAAGGAAACAGGAAGACCAAGAAGTCCAGGAACTTTTCTGAGGTAACAGGATGACAAAGGACAGAGCAAAGGGACGGCGTGCCATCTGACCCCCAAGCATGTACCCAGGCTCTTGCCCATTCTGATGAGGCTAATACTGAACTACTGTGCTTGCATTGCCGCCGTAACCTTTTAGCTGCACCTCTGAGGGTGAGTCAGTCAGGGGGCATAGGATGCCGGGCAGGCAAAGACAGGCCCATGACTTCTTTAACAAGGCCAAGGGGAGAAAGGCTGTCCCAGTCCCTGCCTCTCCTTTTTGCATAGCAAGAGAATGCTTACCTGGATTCCCAGACACAAATCTGGGAAGGAGGTGGCACAAGGAAGAGGAAGGAAAGACTAGCATCTAAGGAATGGGGGGAGGGGTTGGGGTAGGGGAAAAGGGAGGCTAATGTGGACAGAGAAGTTGAGGGAAATCCTGGGGCCTTTTGGCTGCTTGTCATCTGTGACTCTGGGAAGGGTCACCAGAAGGGGCCCCATACCTCCGTCCGGCTGTCACCTTAGTTTGGGGTGGAGCTGCGTCCTCATGAGGGCTGGGTTACAACATCCCTGCAACCTGAGTTGTGGGGTGTGGTAGATGCTGGGATACCTGTATGAAAGTACTACATTCTGGAAACAGACGTGATGACCCCATGGTTGGGGCACAGGATGGGTCCACCAAGCCGGGGGCTGGACAGAGGGGAGAAGAGAGACCAGCAAGGAGGTGAGGGGTCCGTGGCCTCCGCTCTCTGTGAGTGAGGCCTAGGCCAGGGCCGCTGCTGTAGAACTCAAGACAAAATGTGAATCACCATTTCTTCCCAAGTCCCTGGCAGCTGATAGAGGGAGACAGAAAACAACTGATGTTACCTAGGGACACCCTTTGGCTTTTGTACAGCCCTAAATTTATCGAATGATAGTTACTCAAGTTGTTCTCTTCCCTGCCCACTAGGCAGGGCTGTGAGAAGAACACATCAGAATGTTCCATCTAATTTCCTGTGAGCCTCGTGTGGCCACATGAATGGAACTGCCGTGGACGGTGTGTGGATGGTGTGTTGATGTGGTATGTGCCAGGCACTCTGCTAGGCCCTTCACAAGCATGGCCTTATTCTTTCTTCTCAGTATCTCCCAGGTAGAAACAAGATACCCGTTTGTCACTGTCCCTGTTCTATTGCTGTGACGAAACGCCACGGCCACAGCAACTCTTACAAGAGAAAGCATCTAATTGGAGGTTACAGTTTCGAAGGCTTAGTGCGTTATTAGCATAGCAGCGAGCATGGTGGCAGGCGTGGTAGGCATGCTGCCGGAGAAGTAGTTGAGAGCTGTCTCCTGATTCACAGGCAGAGAGAGAGAGACATACAGGCAGACAGACAGACAGAGACACTGGGCCTGGCATGGGCTTTTGAAACCTCAGAGCCACTGCCCCCAGTGACGCACTTTCTCCAACAAGTTTACACCCACTAATCCTTCTAATTCTACCAAGTAGTTCCACTCCCTGGTGTCGAAACATTCAAATGTATTTGCCTATGAGGGGCCATTCATATTCAAACCACTACACCACCCAAACTACCTGTGTGACCTTGGAAAAGTTCCTCAACAGACAGGGCTGAAGTGACTGCTGAGCAGTTCAGAGCGCTTACTGCTCTTCCAGAGGACCTGTGTTTGGACAACCACTGGGAGACCTAACTCCAGCACCAGGGGAGCTGACATCCTCTTCCGGCCTTTCGGATGACGTACACGCGTGACATACGCTTCTATAAACACACACATATACAAAGCTTTTAAAATACCTTAAAAAAAAAAAAAAACAGGCTGCCCAATAGCTCCAGGCCTAAGAGTCTCATCAAGTGCAGACATGGATCCCTGCCTAGCCGGGTGTGGGATATATAGAAGGCACTCAGGAAAATGTCACAACTCCTGCTAGCCAGATTTCTGAACACAGAGAAATAAAGACAGGTAAGGTGATTGGGGTGGGGGTGGGGCCACCTCCAGAAAAAGAAATGACCAAAACATGACCTCCAAACTGCAAGAATGCTTGTGATCTCATCCGGGGTCAGGAAAGGGGGAGGGGGAGGTCAAGTTTAAGGAGACAGGAGCCTTTCCCTTCAGAACACAGACCTACCTGAGAGCCGCAAGGAGCCGTGGGAAGTAAAGGCGGAGACGCAGCAGCATCCAGGTCCTGTGTATCTTCAAATCCATTGCATTTTCTTCCTGGCCCGCTGTCTCCTTCCCCTTGTGTGTTCTGTGGGACAAACATGCTGGTTCCCCGGCTACGGTGGCCTTCTGAGACTTGGATCATCCCAGCCGTGTCCACATCACTGGAGCGTGGGACAGACTGCCTAGAGCTGGAGGTGATTCTTAAAAGCAACGTGTCCACTTGGGGGCGTCCTCAGGGAACTTCAGGAAGGGTTTGTGAGAAAGGAATGGTGCCATCAGGTTCCTTCTCGTGGAGAAACGTCAGATGAATTATTAAGAAAGGAGGAGAGGAGGGCACAGCTTCGCTAAAGTAGCTCCTGTTTCTGGAAACATTTCAAGCGCCCTGGCCATCCCTGGTGAGAGAAAGGTTCCCCGCTGTGCAGAGGGTCAGCGGGCAGCTAGGACTGCAGCCCACACCGGGGAGGGCTTGGTGAGGGGAGACCGGCATTGCAGAGCTGCGATTCAGGCTGTCTCCAGCTCTGCCAGCAAGAGCTATTTTTAAGTGTGAAATTCAATATGTCGCAGAGAAGGGAGGGGGTAAGGTGGGGATGGCGAAGTGGGAGAGGCTATAGCAGGTCCTAGAAGGAGACTCACATTCCCGGGAAGATAAAGCCGTTGCTCAGTTGTTGCTCAGCACCCCCACATCTCTATTTTGAGCCCTGAAAACAAATACCCACCTCTAGGCTCAGAGCTGAGGGTGGAGACTGATCGTTAACCCTGCCTCTCACTTCATCTCTTCTTTGGCGTGATAAATGATATGAAGTTTTAAAGAGAATGCATCATGGTCTTGCGTTTAAAATCACAAAAACAAAAAACAAAAGCAAGCCAGGTCCTCTAGAAGAGAAGCTCGGGCTCCTGATCACTGAGGCTGAGCTGTCTCTCCAGCGCCATCTTGCAGAGCTCAAACACATCAATTGCTCAAGCTTTTCACTTCTGGAGGGTCTTGGGAAGGCAGAGCTGTGGCCAGTGCAGGGCAGTCAACAGGAATGGAAAGCTATTCCCGGAGCCAGCGTGCAGTACCAGATGTGTGGCTATAGAATTTTATTTATTTTTATTTTTATGTTTTATTTGAAGCTGAGCTGTCTTGAAGTTAAAAAGAAAGCCACAGGTAAGATCCAGAAAAAAACAAAACAAAACAAAACAAAACTCTTGATTCCAAGTGAATTTCATAATGAGAGAGGGGCTCCTGGGTGAGATTCCCTGACAAATGATAAATGAAGATGAGTAATTGAAACACTTCCTTGTGGTGTTGTCATTTCTCTAAACCTTCCCCTGATTATACTATATAGATATAGATTATACTATATAATACACATATGTATAGATATATAATGGAAAGAGAGAGAAGTAAAGAATTCCTTATATATGTATAATGGAAAGAGAGAGAAGTAAAGAATTCCTTATATATATATTTTACGTGTGTGTTGACAAGCATGTGTACATAGGGAGGCCACAGGTCAACACTGGATGTCTTTCTCAATTACCCTCCATTTGATTACTTTTTTGAGGCAGGGTCTCTCACTAAACCTAGAACTTGCTAACTCAGCTAGGCCGGCCGGCCAGCAAGTCCCTGGGATTCACCCGTCTCAGGCCTCACTCCCCAAGTGCTGGAGTTCCAGGCTACCACTGGCGCCCAGGTTTCAGTGGCTTTGGGGACCTGAGCCCAGGTCCGCATGCTTGCACGCGAAGCAGGCACTTTACCTGTAGAGCCACTTCCCCAGCCTCAGAAATAAAGATTTCTTTGGGTAAATATTTTTGAGGCTTCGTGAAGGCGAAAGGAAGCCTAGGCACTTCCATGCTCTCTGTCCCGGGGAACCTTCTGTTCCTCCAGACTATGCCCACCCCACCCGCTCAGGTAAGACCTAGAATGACAGTGGGTGGATGGGTATAGGCAGCTGACCAATTAGAGCTTAGCCATGTCTGATCTGCTGCCAGTATGTGTGATGGCCAGAGCGAGGGTAATAGGTCAAGTGTGGTGGAGGTTGGTGGAGAGCAGCACACTAGAATGGGAGGATAGAGGGGCCAGGTGCCCCTCCCTGCCTCATAGGATGCTTCTGTGATTTAACTCTTAAATAGCCTCTACAGGCTCATGCTTTGGTCACTTGTTCCCACTTGGTGACATTATTTGGGGGAGCCATGGAACCTTGAGAAGGTGGGGACTAGCTGGCTGCGGTTGCAGCAGCTATAAAACCTTTGAGGTGATTTTCGAGCTCCTGTCTCTGGCCCTAGTCTCCGCTTCCTGGTCTGACACACGTAAGGAGCCTTTATCAGGAACTTCATGACCCCTTCCCACCATGCCTTGCCTGCTATGATGGACTGACCCCTCTGGAACCGTGAGCCAAGACAAATTTTCCCTCCATGCAATTGTTCCCGCCAGGGATGGTACCCCATGATGCCACAGAGTCCCCTTTCCTCCTCCTCCCCCTTCTTTTTTAAATTTGCATTTGTTTATTATTGTGTGTGTGTGGAGGGAGACACGCAGTACATTTAAGTCTGGTTCTCTCCTTCCGCCAGGTGGGTTCTGGAGATTGCGTTCAAGGCTTGGTGGCAAGCACCTTCACCATTTGAGCCTCTTGCTCACTTTTCTCCTCATCTTCTTTCTGCCTCCAAGACCCTCTCCTTGCTTGGGTCGTTGCTCCCTGCTGTGCTTCCTGCTCCAGAGCTTTGCCACACAGGAACTATAGTGAGGGTACAAGTGGGGATAATTACAAACTTAGAATGAGGAGAGGGGACCTATCTTGTGGGCAGAGCAGAGGAGCCCAGTTGAGCCTTCGTGCTTCCAGATCTGAATCCTTTAAGAGTGCTTTTTAAAGGGGTGTCTCAAGGCCTTGTCTTGCTTACTCAGAAATTAGCTGCCAGACAAGCACTATTACACCACTCCCTAATAATTGCTCCAATGGACTTTGTGTTCATGACACTGTGACAAAACAACTGAACTCATCAAGTTATGAGGTAGAAAGGTTTCTTTGGGGTCACAGCTTCAGAGCTTTTATGGTTTCTGTTCATGGTCTTTAGGCCTGTACTAGCACAGTACATCATGACAGAAGTGTGTGCTTGGAAGAGGCAGTGCACCTCATGATGCTTGGGAAGTAGGGTGAGGTGTGCAGGAGACCAACATCCCCTTCAAGAACCCACCAGAAAAGGCCTAAGTTCTTCTACTGGGCTCTACTTCCTGTAGGTACTTCCCAAGAGCATATCAGCTTTTAACACAAGGACCTTGGGGGAACATCCACTATCCAACTACAGCCAGGCATAGTGCCTCACTCCTCTGATCCCAACATTTGGGGATCTGAGGCAGGAGGATTATGATGTCAGTGCTAACAGGAACTACACAGCAGACCTTGTCTCAAAAGAAGAGACAAGAGCAAGAAGATCCATGCTATCAAAATGCTTAAGTGAACATTTCTAGAATTATCTCTTGGCCCATTGGCTTGCTTAGTTTCATAGGATAATAGCGTTTCTAGAATTTGGAGGCCGAGGACTCATTTTACAAAGTGTTCCTTCCAGTGGTAGACATTCCATTTTAGAGAACAAGTATGAAAATATCTCCACAATAGCAGCGTGGTTTTCTAAATGGGCTATGGAAATGGTGTCGTTCAGGAAGACTCTCTTGCCTGGAATATTTGTAAGTAGCAGGGTTGGGTTTGAGACTTACTGGGGAACACTACATAGTTTCATGTGTTCCCCCAGAATGAGCTGAGACTCTGGTAAACCGGTTTGGTTTGAAAGGGCTTACAGTGGCACCCCAGGGGACAGTAGCTCCTGGCACAGGAGGGCTCTGCCCCAGCGCTCCAGTTTCAAGGAACAAAATCCATTTTACTTTGCTCCAGAGAAGGAGGTGGGGTTGCCTAAAGGTGTGGACTGTATTCCATCAGTATCTGGGCAGATCACAATCATCAGGTGCTCTTCCCAGGTCCACGTAAGCTCTAGAGGCATATCAGGACAGACAGAAAGCCAGATGCTCTGCTTTCTGTGGGTGGTGGAACCCTAATTCCACAGGGAACATGGCCCTCCCATCTGGCCATCCAGGAGATGGTGGGGGTTGTGGTGATGGGGGGATCACCCAATCTTCCTAAGCCTTCATTTCTTCTTCTTCTTCTTCTTCTTCTTCTTCTTCTTCTTCTTCTTCTT